ATTCATATAGCATAAATACAAAGTGCACATAGCACACACACACACATATTCTGCCACCGCACAACCAAGTGTTACGATTTTCTGCGTTGGTGTTGGATGTTGATGGTGCCACACAAGATGCATTGGGCATGCAAGGGGCGATGATCATCGAATTGATACTGGCTGCCTGACACACGAGTCAGTCAGCCAAGACCGCCAGCAGTGGTGTCTTCAGGTGACAGCCTGTCCGCCAGGCAAGGACCGAAGGTGGAGAGGCCATGAAATCCAGCAAGCCCACAGCTGAACCATCATGGCCAAGGTCATTGCTGCGCAGCAGGTTTGCCAGGAGTCGCGTCTGTCTCACTTCAAAAGATGCCTCGCAGACTTGTTCACCCGAGCTGCCCCGGCGCCGGTGTCAAAGCCAACATCATCGGCAAAACTGTTTTTGAACTGCCGTGTGGCTCCAGCTGGCCCCAACCAACCATTGAGCACGGTTCTCATCATCTGCATCTGGGGCAGGCGCCGCAGAAGCCCGACTTGCCCTGCCCTGCTTCTTCTTGTCCTCGCCAGGCCTCGGGACAACAGCAAGCTGAACTACATAACAACTACAGCTAAGTTTGGAAGTTGGTATTTGGTTCCGCTAGTCCTCGCAAATTCCTCCCAGCGTCAGTCTGAAGTGTCAGTTGATAGTTGATAGTTGGTAGTTAGTCATTGGTGCATTGATTGGGATTGAATTTGCTGAGCTACTAAGCGTTGAACAACTGTAACATTGACTTGACAACTCTGTGAGTGTTACAACGCCCAGTGATGAGTAACTACCATTGACAACTTGACAACTACGCGTTCGTTCTGACAACCTCCAGTGAACCAGTCGGCAGCTCGACTGAGTCTACGGCAATGGCTCCCTCATGAGTAACGCGTAAGGCTTGCCAGCGATGAACTTCACGATCACTGGGGCTGACAAATCCCTGTGGAACTTGAGCACGGGCAGCTCGTATCAAGGGCTTTCCGTCGGCCAAAGTCATCTCAACCGTTTTGTGCGCAAGCTGCAAGAGAGGTAGGTCCACGTCGCACGGGGGATCAAGGGGGATGAGCCAAGATGCGCAGACCAGACCGCCCTCGCTCATTGAACACACAGTCTGTCTAACATCACGCAATTCCGTGCAACTTTGACTGCCTCAGACGATCGATTCAAACTTGGGTGTGGTTTAACCTGCATGTGTTCAGCCTGTGCGCGTAGTGGAGCGCAGATGACATCACCCAATAATCAAATCAACCAAGCAACCAATCAACAAACCAATCAATCAACAAATCAACCACTCAACCAAGAAATCAACCAATCAATCAATCAATCAACCAATCAACCAACCAACCAACCAATCAACCAATCAATCCACCACTAATCTGTCAATCAATCAATCAGTCAGTCAATCAATCAAATTAATGAATCAATGAATCAATGAATCAATGAATCAATGAATCAATCAACCAATCAATCAATCAATCAATCAATTAATCAATCAATCAATCAATCAATCAACCAATCCATCAATCAATGAGTCATGTCACTCAACCAACCAACCAATCAACCAATCAACCATTCAACGAATCAACCAATCACCCAACCAACCAATCAACCAACCAACCAACCAATCAATCAATCAATCAATCAATCAATCAAATCAATCAAACAAAAACAAATACATACACTAAACACTAAACAATGGCAAAACAAACACAAAAAAAGCAAGCAAGCAACCTGGTAACCAGCTGTTTCCCACCCAAGGCAGACGCGACAATCTTGTAGTGGGGGAGACTTCTTGTTCACGCGGATCAACACAAGACAGTGCAACTGTGAGCTGGGTGACGCGCCGCACAGCCGGCGAATCTCCGTCAGAGTCTTCGGGAGCTTGTGCTTGGGCGCAAATGCCGCCAAGTGCGACGCGCGCCCGTCAAAGATGGTGAAGTAGTTGGTGAGCTTGCAGGTCGCCACTACGTTGGGCGCGCCTTGTGACAGCTTCGCCAGCGCTACGACAGGCAGCTCAGCAGAAGCCGCAGAAACGGCTTTCTTCGGAGCTTGAGTGGTCCTGTCAGGGTTTGGGGCGCCAGCAGTGCGCGACTTCAGGCTTCAGGTGTGGAACACCTCAAACTCACAAACATGTTGACTACAAGACGTGAAAGCAAAGCCAAAAGTTTCCAAAAACAACTAACTTTACATCATCTGTCCTGAACAAAGTAAACTGAGCGCACCCGTGCAAAGGTGCAGAGCTGCTAAGTTCTGGCGGGTCCCACGCCGCCAAAGCCAACACAGCGTGTGTTACACACTGTGCAGCTTGAGCATCAAGCATAATGTGTTTTCACAAGTGTGCTTGAGTAACCTCAGAACAAAGAGAGCAACCTGACCATATCTGCACACGTAGGAAACGTGATCGAGACTCACTAGCGGAGGGCGCACCGGCTGATCATGGAACTGGCAAATGATGGAGCTTGCGGAGAGCGCACGCAGCTCACCTTCGCGCGGGACACGTCATGCAAGGTAACGTACGCCATGAAAAGTATGGATATTGAACCAGCATCTGAAAGTACTCAAACATACAAGCCAGCGGCGAAAATGAAACATAAAACAAAGTTCACAAACGTGGACAACTTTAAGCACAGAATAGGCGCCCGACACGGTTTGGATCGCACCTACCACCCTGTTGGGCACTCACCCCTCCGGCACCCCCGGCCTGTTGTTGGGCACTCCGCATGCACTCCACTCCCCGCCACGCCACTCCACTCCACTCCACGCCACTCTCCACTCCACCCCGGTGTGACCGGAGCCAGCAGGGAGGTACGGCCCAAAGGCCTCCCTCCACCCGTCCCTGGGGCATGGGCAGGGAGGTACAGCCCGAAGGCCTCCCTCCACCCCGGTCCCTGCGGCATGGACAGGGAGGTGCGGCCCGAAGGCCTCCCTCCACCCCGGTCCCTGCGGCAGTACGGCCCGAACGCGTGTGGTGTGCGTTTGTGTGTGCACGTGTGTGCGTGTGTGACTGGAGCCAGCGGAGTGGAGTGGGGAGTGGAGTGGAGTGGAGTGGAGTGGAGTGGAGTGGAAAAAGAACACACCCGCATACCACTCACCTCATCCTCACCTCACCCTTACCTCACCTCACCTCGCCTCACTCACGTAACTCAGACTTTGCTCCCCACACACGTTCAATCAACCATCAATAGAACTCCATGAGTCCATGAAGGGCCATCAATGGAAATCCATGCAAGGCTCTCCAACAACAGCAAGTCGCCCGACTCACGGCAGTAAGTGGCAACGCGGAGTAACTTGGCCGCCTTCACCAGCGCCATTCCCAAGGGTGAGGTGAAGTGGGTGTTCAGTGAAGTGGTCGGACGTGGGTGCGTGCGTTTGTGCGCGCGTGTTGTCATCATGGTTCATGCTGCGAGTCAAAAGTGTGTTTGTGTGTGTGTGTGTCCTTAGCTGTGCGCGTGTGAGGCGTCATGTTTATGCTCCACGCACGTTGGTGGTGTGGTTGATGTTGATGTAGCTGATGTGGCAACTGCGCCGTCAAATGGTGTGCGTTCCATTGTCTTTGTTTTGAAGCATCCGACATCCGACCTACCAGCGATGCACACGGTCGGCCGGCAGATGGCGAATTAGCTGCAGCTGGAGTGCAAAACAACATCACCCGACACGTAGATCAATGAGCAAGGGAAGTTCCAAAAGAGATTCGCATGAATCAGTTGGCCTCATCACGCTGCTCAAATGATACGCTATTGGTGCATTGGCAGTGTCATCGCGATTCAACTTGTCAACTTGTTTGCACTGCTGTCTTCAGTCAACCGACTGCCGAGAATAAGCATGGAACCTAGCGGGGGCATCATAGCACTCATCAATGTGGCCGACTGTTATTACTCAGGGCCGGCGGCCGGGCCGGGTTTAAGTTTGATTGGACAACTGTCCAGCTTATAGATCATACAGCAGATTAACCGCACTATTACATGCGTCAAAACAAGTGAAAGATTCAGAAACTGGATAGTAAGGATCAAACTTCACATGCTTGAATATATCTGGTTGGCCTGGAATAAATGTATGTAGCTAAAGCCGAGAACACAGGAAACACGGAAAACACAAACTGCATAAATCAAACATGAGATGGTTGACTTTATGGCTGATGAGCCACGGAAGTAATGTTTATGTAGAAAAACACTTGCAAATATAAGTAGGGAGAGCGCTCAAATATACTGGTGATCAAAGCACATGGTGAAGTATCAGGGTTTGTTGGTTCATTAATAGGTGGGGGTTCACCAAAAACCTTGATTTGCAAAAAAAAGAGGCGTAATTGCAAAACACACACGCAACAAAAACAACAATGCCCAGCCACGAAGAGAATTACTTATAAAGAAAACATGCAATAAAGCAATAACAATGCCCAGCCAGAAAAGCCTTAATCACAATGAAAAAACGCAAAAACAACAATGTCCAGCTAAGAAAAACTTAATTTCAGAAAAAAAAGACCAACAACAATGGCCAAACAACCATAATTACACACACAAAATGCGTTAAAACAACAATGCCCAGCCAAGAAAACAACATGCACAAGAAACAGCGGAGAAAAACAACCCACAACTTTTGCTGACCAAATTATACAATATCAGGCCCAACTGTTGGGAACCGTCGGGCGGTCACAATGGAAGCGCCCTTCTTATTTTGGAACAAGTTGAACCCCAGTTGTGGACACCCCTAGTTAAGATTCATGAAAGCTGCCGACCAGTTTGGCCCACACACACAAACACATACACACATACACATACACATGCACACAATATACAATACATATATATATATATATATACACCCCACCCCACCCCACCCCACCCCACCCCACCCCACCCCACCCCACCCCACCCCACCCACCCTGCCCAGCCCAGCCCAGCCCAGCCCAGCCCACCACACCCCACTGCCCAGCCCAGCCCACCCCACCCACCCCAGCCCAGCCCACCCAGGCACGCTGGCCCTTCCGCCGTGGGGCGGTCTGCTCGAGCTGCGTTTGGCTCAGCTCCAGCTGGCGATTCGCCGCCCGCAGCTCGTTGCCCAGGCGCTGCAGAGCCTCCGCCTCGGGCAGCGCCAGCAGCTGGTCCCGGTACTCGCCTCGATGGCGCTAATTGAGGTGGTGTCTGTGGTCGTTTTTGTGGGTTTGGGGCTTTGGGTATCTTGGTGTCTGGTATTTTGGGGCTGGTTGTTGGTGGTGCTGTTGGTTTGGAGGTTGGATGTCGGTTTTCTTGGAATCTTACATTTCTTTGGTTTGGGGGTTGGTTTTTTGGGATGAGGGTTCACCATTTGGGTGCTCAAAAGAGGAGAGGGACCCTCTTGTGAGAGGGACCCCCTTTGGGATTGAATCTGACTTGGTTCAACCGGAACTTTGGGTGGACATCATTGAAGGGTGGGCCCTAAAAAAGATATTCGCCCTGGTCCATCGTGCATGAAAAGGCTTGCCAACCGCCATCACCCATACCAAAGAGCTACCCCCCCCCCCCCCCCGAAAACAAGGTAGCGGACAAAAAGCATTGCTGTTTTAGTCCGTGGAGGTATTGTAATGTATTGTATATTGTGTTGTTGTTTTTGTCTTCCCCGTGGAGCCGCCTTTTAATTGGTGTTAGAGGGAAGCCCAAAGAAACCTGTTGTGACCTTGGTAGCGACAAACAAAGCAGCTAAAAACCGTTTCCCCACTGTCAATCTCTGCTGACCCCATGCGTTTGCGATTGCAACCCCGGTTGAGAGGTTGAAAGCATAGATGACGCATGGAGAGTAACCCTGCCATTGAAGCCACCTCACTTGGGATCAACCAAATGCTCCATGACCCGACTAGACGTAGAATGCTTGCACAAACAGCAACTAGTAGCTGTCGAATGCGAAACAAACAGTCCACGTGTAAACCGTTTAGTTGAGACTGTGCATGCGACCGCTTGCCGCGAGCGACCGCTTGCCGCGGGGTAACCCTTGGCAAACAAAGCCAAATCAACATTTTAGGATCGAGTGCATTTCATTCCATTCTGAGCACATCGAGAAGAAGCCATTGCTGTCACTTGTCCAACATGCTCTTGCGATTTCTGGATTTTCCGACCGCTTTCAAAATGCCAGGTAATTTTGTTTGCTGGTGGCCACGACGCCCGCAGTGGCTCATGAGCTTGGGCCGTTAATATGCATTGTCCAAATGCTTTCGCGCCAGAGTTCCTCAACCAAGCAAACAAAGAGTGTCCAAGGAAAACAACCAGACAAGGAGTCGAACAAAACAGTAGCCAAGGGCCGGACAAACTTTGGCCTTTTGCCAAAATTTCAGGGCTCCCCCCCACTCCCAACAGATCGGAGCCGGGTACGTCTTCCCCCTTCAAGACGTGAAAAGGCGATTTCGGTCGAAAGCGCAACGAAGGTAGCTTCGCTGAATTTCTTTGGGGGGATGGATTCAACAACTCTTGCTTGAATGTTTGAGGTGCCCTGGCTCCTATGCTCCAGAGAGCGAGCGGCGAATCTCCTCGGTCAAGGTCTTGACTTTCCTGACTTGCCCAGTGGCGAGGGAGAAAAGCATGGATCAAAATACAGAATTCATGTTTTCCACGAACATGGACACCTGCTGAGTAGGCCTGAGTTTCTCCTGTCAATCATAATCATACCCTTCAAAGTGTGAATATGGACTTAAAACAAACGCCCTCCCTAAAAAGCTCAGCTTTTGACCCCAAGCAATGTCAATGTGTTGATGTTGGCCCATGCCTGAGCCACAGAACAAGTCATATCAATTGAGGCTCCAAAGCACATCCAAACTTTACAAGAAGACCCTCTAAATCAGCTTCAAGCTGGTTTTCTTTCCTGGTCTTATGGTCCAGGTGTATCCTTTCAGGCACCCCGCGCTCCACTTGCCACCGGGCGTCTGATCCGCCTCCCCGAGTCGACCTTTGAAGATCTCCTGCTCCTCTGAGGCTCGCCTCGCGTCTCGAGAGACGGCCAGGAGGGTTCTCAGAACTCGAAGCCCCAAGAAGCTCAGAACCCGACTTGGATGAGGGGAGGGGGAGCCTAGGTTTTGCCAGAGTTCAGAACCTTCTTGGTCAGAACCCTCTTGGGTTGTGGGTTGGGGGGGGGGATGTGTGTGGGCCCAGGTTCTTCCGGCTTAAACCCGGCTTAAACCCCCGAATCACCCACTTTAAAGCTGGCCATGACTTGTTCAACAGGGTGCTTCTCTCAAGAGGCCCCAGGGTTTGCAACATGGAAGGCAGAATGAACTCCAGAGCTGGGGCTCAATGTGCACTGCCCGGTCAGCACGCGTAAGAAATACAAAAAACGGCACGGCACTACCCTGATCATACACCCATGCATACCCCCAGTCATTGCATCAATGCCGATGTTGTTTGACAATCATGGCAGCCAATGAGTATGGTTGGAGATGGTTGGAGCAACACCGTCTGGATTAGAACATGCTAAACACAACTGACAAGAAACATACAAACAGCATTTCCAGAATGAATGGCGAGATTCAGGACCCATGCTGAAGGAGGACAATTGCTACAACTGCTACAAACACACTCATGGCCGTATACATCAGTGCTGCGTTCGCCAATGTGATGATACAGTACTTGCAGACTCTGTAAACACAAATGGACTATGACTGGCAAAACAATGGTCATCCTACAGTATCATAGATGACAGCTCCCTGAATCAGAATCATGACAACCACGTTTGTGAAACAACCATGAGAAAATGATCATCGCCGACATTTGGCTGTGGGTCAAAACCAATGGTACCATTTTGGGGTAGGTGCACCACCCATTTTAGTCTATTTTTATATAGTGGGATTGGGATGTTCTGGGGTACGGGATTTTGACCCATAGCCATTTAAGCCCTTGATGCAACCGGAACAAACACAACACGGTACTACGCAGCACAAAGCAACTGGCCCCCTGACATAGGAAAAGCAACAACCTGGAGTCTCCATGACCCTTAAACAATTGGGGTCACTACCCAAAATAATGGGGACATTGACCCATGTTTAAAGGGTCATGGAGACGCTAGGAACATCGTATGTGCAATTGGCGCACAAAGTAAAACAGTGAGCATACTCATGAACACCATCAATCCGTTTGGCTGTAATTTTTGTGGCACCGATAATCATGGTCGTTATCAGCGCTATCTAAAAAACTTCGGCCACTGCAAAACCACCTTTTCAACACAATCCTCGCCACCTCCACCCCCCTCATCCTAACCATCCGGCTCAAGGCGGTATAGAAACTCAACTTAGGCGTCACCTGTTGGCTGACTCAAACAGCTCAACCCAGTAGCCCCAAGTTGGGGAGTCGCAATGTCTTCCATCATCCCCCAACGCCTGGCTCTGGTTTTTCATTAGGGGAAACCTTCGCACTTGGTGGATGGCCAAGAAACACACTCCAACCACTAACATCACAAACACACCAGACTCTTCAGGACCCGTATCCCGATCCCCACTTCTTCGGACACACCGCGCCCCGATCCATCGCGACCGACGCCCGGAATCCCGGATGCGAGCGCCGCCTGGTCTTCGCCTCCAGCAGAACTTTCATCTTCTTGGCGTTCTGCAGCTGTTTCTCGGAGTCCTTTGGCGGGATGCCACACAAATGGCCAGTGTTGAAAAGGTGGTTTTGCTGTGGCTGAAGTTTCTTGCAGTTTCCATGATAGCGATGACAAGGACCATGATCATCGGGGCCACACAAATTGCAGCCGAACAGATTGATGGTGTTCATGAGTATTATCACTGTTTTATATGGCCATGGGTCAAAATCCAAATCGTACCCCCAGTGAACATCCCAATCCTTACTATAGACCAAAATGGGTGGTGCACCGAAAACCCCAAAATGGTACCATTGGTTTTGACCCACAGGCAAATTTCACGAAACAAACTTGCGATCGGTGCGATCTGTAGGGAATGAGTTTTGAACCTGGGGGTTCCCGAATAAAGGAAACCATAGGATATAGATGGTTTGTTTTCGGGGTCGTTCCATTTCTCATTCCCTGTCGCACCAGCAAGCAAAAAACAATCACGCGAAACATGAATCGGTTTCCTGCGGAAGGTGAACCCAGGGCACTGTCCAACCGGAGCTATGGAAGTGCGCACTCTGCTAACACAAAGTGCACGGCGGTGTCGCAAAAGATTCGCGTACAATGGAATACAGTTGTTCTTCCCAAGCCGAAACCTACAGATAGGGGGTCCCTCTAACTTCAAGTAAAGGTGGATTGCTTCTTGTGCGAGCATGGCCGTTTCGGGAAGGATGTTGGATCAAAAAGCGCCGCGAAGATCCCACTTGAGGGGAAGCCGGAAGCCCGTAGCGCCAAGCGCTCAAACAGAGAAGTAATTCTTGGTTCACGTCTGATGTACACAAACAGTGGTCCAACTCTGCTCCATATTTAGTCTCCTTTGACTGCTCTCAAATGGAAAATGTTGTCCTGTGAAACAGCTTTGCTACTTCGGTCACTGACAAAAAATGCGCGGCAAGTCAGTCTATGCAGCCTGGGCAGCTGCCCTTGTATCGCTGTTGCAGTTGGCTTGTGCGCAAAGCCAGTATTGGGCAGTCGGCAAAAGGGCAATGTTCAAGACTTCTCACATGTGCCCATTTGACGTCGAAGTGAACATCAAGCTTAGCTTTGACAAAAGGATGCATCAGGAGGCTCCAAAGCTGAAAGCAGGGCACATGCTACTGCTCAAACTAGGGGGAACTCTCTATGAATAGTTATTCTTGGGAACTTACAAATGCAGCCATTCTGGATCGCAACATACGGGTATGAAGGTGAGAAACGCTGAGAACCCATCTGGTGGACAACGGTGGACATAATTTGGGTGGGGTTTCACGTCCACCAATTGAAGGTATTGCCGGTGAACACTCAGAGCCATCTTTGGGTCTTTCATAAAATGTTGGAATCGAACCCCTAGAAAGGGTGCTTAGGTGTTCCTTCGGGTTGCCTTTAAACAAAAATCCAAGAAGGGTACCGACTCAAACAAAAACATCGTTCACCCCGCTTGATCAGGTCGCCAATGGATTCTTTCCGCGTCCTTGAGCTGTTGCTCCACCTGCGACAGCTTGTCCAGGTCCGCGGCGTGGGAATTCAACTGCTCCTGGTACCTCTTCTCCCACTTCCGTTCCTCGTACAGCGATTCGGCATTTGGCCGTGGGTCAAAACCGTTCTAGGATCCCATCTTGGGGTTTTCGGTGCACCACCCATTTTAGAATCGATTTTAGTGGGGATTGGCATGTTCACTGGGGGTACGGAGTTTTGACCCATGTCCATTTGCTCAAAGTCAAAACACTTCGAAGAGGATTCCAAAGAGAATTACTGAAAGTGGGTTCACCCAAATCCAACTGTTTTGTCCACAGTTGCGGATCTGGGTGTCTCCCAAGGAAGGGCCCCTTTTTCAGGTGGTGTCCTTTTGGGTACCCGAGCAAAACCGCCAGAAGAGGAAACCCAAAGGAGATGCCCATTTTAGTTGGGATTCTCAAATGGGTGAGAGACTGCGAGTAAAGGCCCGCCCTGGTTGATTGCGCAAATACGGGGGGGAGGGGGTTCTGATGTGGTAACGCCTGAAGGGAGCGGTGGACCAAATACGATTGAAACACAACAAAGGGAACCTCAAGCGCCTCGGGAAAGCATTCCAAGAAATTGAGCGCTTCCGAAGCGGACTCGAGCGAGGCTCCTGACTTGATTAAGACACAAACACAGAGACAAATGTTGATCACATGGGCTCAATGCCGACCCGGAAACCCCAGACTGCTGGAGTTTCATGGGAACACATGCGGACGTTTTGGGGCCCCCGTCCAAAGCTGACAACAACGGGTCGCGCAACCAACGGGTTGAAAACGCCTTGAGGCAAGCCGAACTGAGGGCTCTCTGGCCATGAGTTGGCAGTGGGATTTCTTCGAAATCCGTTGGGGGCCGAATCAGAATCCGCAGAATCCTTGTTCTGGTGAGGAATGCTCTTTATCTGTAATCCATGCTGCAAAGTGTGATTCGAAACTCTTCATCCGTAATGCACTGCTGCTAGGTGTGATTCGAACCCATGAACCCATAAGTCGTATCCCCAAAGCAGCGCATGCAATCTGCGAATCACTGGGGACTAGGCTTTGAAGAAGCGGATTCATGGACCCCCGAAACATATTGGTCCGACTTTCAGAAGGGGACCCTATCGACATCATGCGGTGGTAAAAATCATGTCCACTACTTTGAGCTGGTTCCAACTCGTATCAAAAAGGGCTTCCCAAAGACCAAAGGAGGAGATTCCCTTGTATCACAGAAGTGGTTGGATAAACCCCTTGATCCCACAACTTGGTTGACGTTGGAAGGGGAGCAAACAAAAATGAATCAGAGCAGTTTAGTGGTTGGAGTGTGTAGTGAAGTGGTTGGAATTCAACCACTAAACCACAACAAGCAAAAATGTAACATGTTTCCCAACAACAACCATGCCGGATCGCATCCCAAACCACCAATCCAAAGCAGCAAGGGGGCGCTTGCGACATTCAAATCCCCAAGGCCCCAAACCAATTGTAACCAGCAAAGGGAAACCTGACAGATTGATCAATCAATCCAAACCAGCCAAAGGAAATTTGGTAGGTGATTCAGAAGAAAAGAAATGCTCCTCTTGACATAGACCAAAACTCCAGTCTAGATTCAAGAAAGAACTACTCCAGCTTCAAACTGACAGCCGTCACTTTTGGATTTCGAGCGTCATTGTCGCTCTCCTGGGCACGCTCCAACTCCACCTTCTCCAGCTTCCCAGCGAGCTCCTTGTCCTTCGCAGCGCATTCCTGGGCAAAAACGGGCCAAAGGAACGGGGGCATATCTCAGAACGAGGGGATCAGATCCCCCACTAAAAGTGAATAATTTTTAGTGGGTTAAATGGACATCCCCACTAAACACTAAAAGGCTAAAAAGCGAAGGGGATGGCTGGGAGCCACCAAGTTTTGTTGTTCCTCTTTAAAAAAAAAGAAGCTAAAGGTGAAAAAGCAAGAGGACGCAGCAAGAGGGCCCCTCTATCTGGGAAAAAAACATAAAATTCACCAACCGAAAACAAGGGGGCCCCAAGAAAAACAACTTCATCATGGGTGACCTCGCAAACCGCCGAAGCGTGACAGCGTTATGATTGGTGCAAATCTTGCAGCGCCATCCCAAATGCCGCAAAGAGCAAGGCAGCCAATCTCCAAGCCTCTCTCTCCTTTAACCGCTTGCCCAAAAGTGAGAACGACCCTTGTCCATATTCTTAATAACATTGTTTGTTTGACGACACACCTTGCCCTTCAGTTGAAGTAGTTCGGCAGAATACCCTGTCAAGAGAAACCAAGCCTTGCTCCCAAGTCAAACAACAGAGTAAACATCGGCCCAACTAAAAAAAACCGAGGGCGAGTGTCAACAGGGTGGTGAACGCCTGAAAGTTGCCTGTCAATGCAAGTCGTCCAAGGGTGCAGTTTATATAAGGACCCGAGACGTTGTGGCAAAGCCTCCTTCTGGCACTCGAAGCAGTGAACCCGCGCTTTGTTCAATCAATCCCAGAAGGGCCATCAGAAGACATCTCTAGGCTGTCCTCAGATCCCCCGCTAAAAGTTTAACTTTTAGTGGGCAAGGAACCGGATGGCTGGGAGCCACCAAGATCTTGGATCCCGGCCTTCTTCACCTCTTCCAGCTCTTGGTCTTTGGTGTGCAGCTGCTGCCGAACTTCTTGTGCCTGTGTCTGAAAAGCTAGCGCTCTCCCGGCTCTGAACCGTGGGGGGGGGGCAATGGAGGAATAGAAGAAACGGGCAGCCGGGATTCGCAAGGCCCCTCTGCTTCACCCACTTTCTTCGGAACATGGCGGGCTGCGAGAGGAGAGCCAGTGCAAAACTGGGAATTGGACTCTCCCAAATGTTTGATATCCTCGTGGTTTCCCTTTGAACACCATGTCACATGTTCGCTGGCAGCTCGAATAGAACATGTCTCACCAAAAAAACAAGGTTTCTGGATTCAAAAGGGATCCATGGCACAACGTTGGAATGATTGCAAACATACGAGTTAACCGTCCCGAGCAGCAAGGCACAAGTCCTGAAAGAGCATGGCCTCTACTTTGCATGCTGCCGAGGTGGTAATATGCTTAGCTTCACATCATCCAAACCTTTAGCATGGCTGTGGAGAATAACCTTCCCGTTATACACAAGTATCACTTGTGCTAAGCAAGGTCACACAATCTGTTTGTTACGAGAAAGGACCGAACTCACTGGATTGAGCCCCAGGCTGCCAAACGGGCTGAATTACCCAATGGCTACTCAATGCCGCCAACCAAGCAGCAGGAGAAATCAAAGCAACCACTACGCAACTGGGGAAAACACCGAGTCTTCGCAGTCTCGGAGCTGAAGCAAGAGTTCCAAGGGCATGGCACGATGTGGACTCCGGGCGCGGATCCCGTGCTAAAAGCTTGACTTCTGGTGGGTTTATATGTCTGTGGCTGAAAAAACTGGAATACCAAAATGGGTGGCCCTGGTAAGCGGAAACATGGACCAAAACCCGCGTTAGCCCTCGTGTTTAATTTTGAGCCACAGCCATTAATATGGACAGCTCCAATAAACCAACTAAGCCAACAACGCTAAGGGCCCGGATGGCCGTCGCGAACCATGGACTGTCGACCTCCCGAGCCAGTAGCAAAACTCGAAAGGGTGCAGATACCTTCCTGGCGCAGAAGTGGAGGACTTCTTACCACGCCGAGCGCCAGGTGGCAAGCGGATCTTCAAAGAAAAGGATGGCGGAGAAATAGGCGTCAGGAAAGCTGAAGGCGAATCTATATTGGAGGATTGACATTATGACATTAGTTTGATCGACATACCATCGAGTCAAGCCCTCTAAAGAGGCCCTTGACCCTTGTGTTGGACTCTGATACACCTTCAGGCTCACTATTAAACCTGACTGCAGGCCACTGGAAGACCACATTGGCGGGCTCCACGTTGGTTTCTGAGGAAAAAGTCCGAGGTGCCCATGTGGCTGTGAATCGAAATCATCAAGAACGCCTACAAATACTGGGTGCTCTTATCCGGCCTGGGCGTGCATCTCTTCAATCTTGGCCTCCAGCGCCTCTTGGACCTTCTTCGCCTCCTTGGCCCTCTCCTCCTTCTCCTCAAACTTCAAACTTCCACTTTCCGACTCCGACTCGGAAGTGTGGGGTCATAACTTTGCTCAACAATCCGTATGCCTTCCAAACAGAACGAGCCCAGGCGATATCCCCAGTTCAACCCCCCGAAACCATTGCTGAGCCCTGCTCTGCTGGATCGGAGCCAGGCATTTGGAGCAAAGCCAACTCCGTGTCAGCTGTCATTCTCTGCCCAACAAATCATAGTTCCGGGCAAATTACTGAATTCTCCCAAGCCGCAACTAAAGGATAGCAAGGGCCCTTTGCCCGTTCATCCTAGACAATCAGCTTCATCCCCTTGGCGAGCTTTAGCCCAAGGTGAGCTCGTTACATTCCCAGAAATGTTTGCCTCCAACTTGCAAAATGCGCGCAGCAAAACCAAGGCCCAAGTTCGGAGCGCGCAGCACAAACCCGCGGAGAAACTCGGCCCAAAAAAATCGCTCCAAAATCAGCAGCCCAGACCTATGATCATTGAAACTCCCGGGGAAACGGCACGCCCTCTTTGTCCTGAAACTCGGCCAAGGTCTTTTCCATCTTCTGCATCTCCTGGGACGCATTGCCTCTTTCACTGGCATCAAGATGTGTCGCAAAGTCGGAGAAGTCTGTGACGGTTTCAACCCGCAACCAGGTAACTGTGCCGGCATTCGAAAGGTCCCTGGTTTGGCACTGGTTCAAACTCATGCCGCAAGAACCCCAATCAAGCCCAAGTTCGACGTTTGAATACTTCCACTTGCCTGAAGCAACCTGGAACAAAAAGAGAAACATGTCCGGTAGTGAAATCGCTTCCCTTCCAAATCAGGTGAACCTGGCAACCATAGGACCATATTCCTTTGCAGCACATGGACTACGCATCGATCTCGTGTGGTCGAAGTCGATGGCAAGCTGTCGGATTGGAAGCTCCTCCTTTGAGCTCTTGAGGTCTGCCTCATGCTGCGACAGCAGGTTCTTCAGGAGCTCTTCCTTGGAGCCGAGCTGGTGGAATGATCCATAGCCCCAGGGCTGAAAGAAACACCCAAACAAAAGCTCACGGATACATAGCCCAATTATGAACCTCTCTTGATTCTTCTTTGGGTAAGACATAATATGGTCGTTGCCATCAAGCGACTCAAGGGGCAGGATCCCTGAAAGAAGCTCTCTTTTTTTTGTGGGAGGGGGGGATCAATTGCCTGGAGCATCAATGTGGGGGCTGGCCCACCGGCGCTTGACCCCAGTTCAAAGGCGTAAGATGTCGGCGCCCCTCTTGGCGACACTCCAATGCAAAACGCAGGGGACAACTGCTGTTTTGAGCATGCTTAAACATGAAAATGATAGACAACCTGCTTTTGCTTCCCGTCCAAATGTCTGATTGCTTAATCAAAATTGGGCCACCCTGCGGGTTTTGCTTTGCAGAAACGACGCCCACTTCTTTTCCGGCGATTTGGGGTTTCTCAGGCAGCCGAACCACCGCCAACACCTCTGAAGACGAGCACACTGTGGATTTACGAAATCCTGCACCATGCAAGGAGCCATATTGAATGATGATTGCCCTGCAAATCCAACCAACCATGAGTTTCCCATATCCCACCATGCAAGGAACCATGGAATGATGATCCCATGGCTTCAAAGTGGTGCGATTTCTGGATGTCGCAACCATCCAAAGTACTGACAAAGATCAGCTCGGCTCCGTGAAGTGGGACATCCAAAGACTTGACCGAATTCGGGCTGCGTCGGGCTGAGAGGGACCCAGTGGTGGGCGTTATCTTGTTCAAAAACGCCAAATGGGTCCAAACAATTGAGAATCATCCATTTAGACTTAGACCTCAAATCAAATGGACATGTTTTTTTACCAGTCCATTTCGGAGTTGAACATGGGAAACGCAAGCCGCTTCGAATCCCGGTAGAAGTCCAGCGTCGAACTTCTTCTGTTCCTTCAAGCTCTCCTCCGCAAGAGCCAAGCGCTGCGCCACCTCACCTACCGAAAGCACGCCGGCAGAAAACGGTAGACATATGCAGGCCCTCCCCCCGAAACCATGGGAGTTTACAGGGTCCCCATTTGGGTATTTGTCTTTTACATGTGGGCTATTTAGCATCCCCCCTTCGGAGGCCATTTTTGGAATTCCAAACAATTTGGCTTCAAGGAGCATCCTTGCACATTTTCCCGTGAGCTAGGAACATCAAACACCCAAACTGGGGCAGACCTCCCGGTTTCTGGTGGGTCTTCCGTGTGGATGGAGCAACAACGCGGCAACACGGCTTTGCCATCACAGCCCCAAGGCCCCGAGCAACACCTCAAGACTCAAGCTAAGAAGCCTAGGAACCACCATATCACTGATATCACATCTTCCAGTTTTTGCGCGCCCTTATTTGTTGATATGCCCATGCAAGGGCACCAACCAGCCTTCATATTCCTTTGAAGCGGGGGGTACCAGCCAAAAGGTATGTGGACTGATCTCCTTTCTTTTGATCGCGCTGATACCTTGCTGTTGCAACTTGGACCACAAGCCAGCTTGAACTGAGCCAAAGTCGCCGATTGATCCTGTCAAGACCTGCGCCACTTGGCCGGAAGGAGGCCAAACACGCGGCAGTTGCAGTGGACAGAAGCTTGCTGGTGCGATAAGTAGGGAATAAGGGCATGAACCCAGGGGTCCCTTTCAAGGAAACCACAAAACAAGCTTATTTCGGGGGTCATTCCATTCCTCATTCCCTGCCACGTATGGCACCAGCAAGGACACCACCCTTGCTTTTCGAATTCTCCAAGGCCACAAGCAAAGCGGCCACCCGGCGACCGGGCAACGAGCACCGAGCTCCGTGCCTGTGGCATGGTTGCCCGAGAACCTGGGCTGACTCGAGGTTGAGACGTGGCTGAGTGTCGCCTGGATCTTCTGGGCTTGTCTTTAAAAAAAAAAAGTGCCTCCTCCCCAAACCAATGGGTCTTGATCCAGTTTCCCCACAGTCTGGCAAATTTTCGCGCATCCGTGGCAGCTGATGGCTCAACAGGACCCGCAAGCCTTCCACATCGTAGACCTGGCAAGTTGGTCCCAAGGCCCGGGCGACTGCACCTGGACGCCCAGTGGGTACCCTCTGGCCCTTCCGAAAAAGGGGAAGCCGCTCAGAACGCCGGGCCCAAAACCAAAGTGAGCAAGCTGCGGAGCTGCCGCCTTGACTTTTTGCAACCCAAACTAATTAGGCTTCGACCTCCGTGTGGACTGCTCCCCCGTGGGAACCAAATGCAAAAAGCACGCATTCATCTGCTTGAGGCGTTGCAGCTCATGAATTGATTGAGAACGAACACTTGCCGGCAGCTGTTGTCCTTCCAAAATCAGGGCACCGCGGAAGCAACCATACTGACGTGCCATTTCGATCAAGTACCCTGAAAGGGGCGGCAGGCTGGAATACTATCATCCGCATAGTTTGGTGAGAGGCTATATGTCTGTCTCTATTGTGTCTGTGTTGTGTCTACTGCGCCTGTGTCTCCGCGTTCCTGCGTCTCTCTGTGCGTCTCTGGGTGTGTGTGCGTGTATGTGCGTGTGTGTGTGTGTGTCTCCAAACTAGGGACTGGTGTGCTTCAAAGGAAGTCACACATTTGCATGTTCCAATTCTATCCCTTGTGACCGGCACATTAAGCTCACCAGTCTGAAGCAAGGGACCCACCAAGAAGCCTTCGTCACATAGGCCTTATCACTCTCTGGTGAGTTTCATCACCATCGCAGTTTCTGGATCTTTATTGCATCCCCTTTTCGTGGACCAACTTCTGTCACGTGGGCTGCTTGAAGATTCTTCAGCCTGCCTTGGATCCTATCGCGAATCTGCCGCAGACCTAAGGAGGGGAAGTAGGCAGCTAGGAATCAAATAAGTTGCGAAGAAACTAAATTGCATGCAAACTATGCTCTCGAGGCCCAACACAGTTGAGATGCAATCCGGTTTTGGCAGACATCAACCGGGGTCCTAAATATATGGGATGTCCTAGAATGAACGACCCCCCTTTGTTGGTGCTCAAGGTTTACAGCAAAGGCAAATCGACCACGTTTGGGGGGTCCTATTTTTTGAAACTGCTCAGGAAAGTGTCTCTTTGTTTGGAAGCTACCCTTGTGGGTTCTAAAAGAGCACCAACACGAGACGAGCCCTTTCAGGGTTCCCCAAAAAGAGGACAAACCATAAAAAACGGCGGGTCTTTCCGGTGTCTCAGTGAGCCTGGTGCAACAAGTTGCCTCCTGTGGGTTGACTTCTGCAGCGACGACCAATCAAGAAGGGTCTTCGAGGCTGGGATCTACCGAATTGCCACTGACTTTTTGTGAGGCCTCAAAGACACAGGCCCCGAAACTTTGTGTTTTTTTTGACATCAGGTCACCGGCCCCGTTACCACCCAAAGCCGAAAAAGAAACACAAAAAACACCTGCCGCAGAACTCCGACCCGGCCGCGCCTCGGCGCCCCGGCGGGGCCTGGCGGCCCCAGCCTCCCGAAGCTCGTGGTTCTCCTGCGCCAGCGAGGTGACTTTGGCCTGGCGCGGCGCGCCGTTCCGTACTTGAGGGGGACGGACGGTGCCGGCCGTTCCCCGGCGTTTTTTTCGGCAGTTCCTCCAACCAAAAATACCCTCCCACCAATTAACACGGAAACTGGTCTTCCAGGACCCACCTGTCAGGTTCCATGTTGATTGGTGGGAAGGTAGCCCATTTTGAGTGAACCCTGGATTACTCACGTCCTGAGTGGATTGGGATTCCAAGAATAGTCAGAACTTATTGTTTGCCACCAAAAAGATCTTCCCAAAAAGGTTGAAGTCCATGAACTCAGGCAGTGAGGCAATATTCCTTGGGAGCGGTTCCCCCTTGAGGCCAACATATGCAAACAACTTTACTTTTTGGGGGTGTCTCTAAGAGACTTTAAATCTTCAAGAGGTCGGATGCCCAGGCGGTTGGTTTGCTTTCAGTTCACCTTTCGAAGCATCCAATCAGATGTTGAAGCCCATCTTCGTGTCTCGCCTGCTAAGGGACAATCGAAGAAGACGCGCTGATCATGAAAAACCACTTTCAAGAGACCAGGGAAGCCAAACACAGAACCAACATAACCAACACAACTCAGCGCCCATTATTTGCCTGCTGCTGACGCCTCCGCAAAACACCTGCAAAAAGCTTATTTTTTGCTGGTCTGGAAACCTCTTCATTTCCCAAAAGGTTAAGAGTCTAATGAGCCAACCCAACAGCAATCAAGTTAGTCCTCGCCAATTCAGCGCCCGGTCGGAACATACTGCTTCATGCCGCCAATGAAACCATTGCCCCAGTTCCATCTGTCCCTTAGCCGAGGCGTTGAGGGCTCCACCCCGTCGCTGTTCCGTTCGTCGCAAGCATGGTTCACGATGATTCACGAGAGGCTACTTGATACTCCCGCTGTCAGTCGAGGCATTGTCTCGCGCTCGTGTTGCTGCTAGGCTGGGCAATGAATCAGAGTGCGATTTGCTGTTTTGTCTGTCTTGCATGCTTGCCTATCCCAGCCAAAATGGTCCCAAGCGCGTTTTCTGCCCTTCACGCTTCTCACATGGGAACACAACCCACCTGCCCTTCCTTTCACAGGCACTGTGCAACTCGGCAATTTTGCATGTGTCAATGGCTGTTTGTGTTGACACCAGCGTGCGTTTGTTCACACGGGCGGTCTATTCAAAACCTACCAAACAATGCCACTACACGAGTGCAACATTCCGTCACCTAGTCCCGGCTCATGGATAGTAAATACGTCTTGCGTGAAATAAATGCATGGACTAGTCTGCCATGTTCACGCTTAACAGCTCCTGCGATTACAAAGGGATGGTCGACCTGGATCGAACGGAGCGGCTTCTGCATAGCCTCGGGGCTGTACTTTTGCTTGCTTAGGCGTTAGGACACGATGCGTCTGAGTCGCATAGCAATGTGTCATGGAAATAAACATCACATCCCACCGATCTCGAGACATGGCCATGCACTTCGATGATGCCACGTCAGCATTCCAAATAAAACAACAAACCAACAACACCAAAGGCAAGCAAACTAGCAAACTCGACATAGACAAATGCAACACCAGGCGCATGTTTGATTTTTATGTTGTCTGGTTGTTTGTTAAAAAACAAGAAACATCTATATTATATATTCACACAGAAACAGCAAAAAAACGAAGGCACATACAACACTCACTTCACCGACATTCGCTGATCTGCCTCCAGCTTCTCCGCTTTCGCTTCTAAGTCCTCGATTCGACTCTTTGCCTCCTCGGCCTGCCGAGCAGTTTCCGACAAGATTCCCACCAGAAACCTACAGGCTTCCTCCAACAAAAAACACTTGGTTGCTGCTGAGTTGTAACTTGTTGTGGGTCCAATGGAAACAAACAAATCCAAGGATCCAACCACATAGCCATAAAATCTATATACAAGTAGCAAACAAGTATTAAGTCGTGACCGTCGAAACAATGTTGTTTAGCCCCTCATATTACTTGTACGAGGCTAGCTCGAAATTAAACTTACAATTTAAGGTCTTGGGGTGCAAAGTTAGTAGAGGGAGCGTGTACAAAATCGATACCCACTTGGTCCTGGTGACCTGCCACAGACTCGTACATGGAGCATGCATGATGATTGAACATGATGTGAGTCATGAAACACCTGAGTCACAATCACAACCCAGAATTGCAATGGTCTACCCAGAACCATGCTTCAAGAATTACCCAGGCGCATATCCGCGCCAATTTATAGCAAGGGGATCGTCCCTTAGCCTTCATCTATCCGGATCCTTTGAACAAGTGGCTCACCTTGTCTCGAGTCCACCCAAATTCCCGACTAACCGCGCCTATCTTGGGACTTTCCCGCGGCTGACCTTAAGACTTATCCAGGGTTCTTCTTTTTTTCTCATGCCCGCCATGGGTAAACTCAATCGATTCTGTTGCACATTACTTGTCAGAGTCCAATTCTACGGCATTGCAGCTGGGCTATATCCTGCATACTTTGTTCCGGCCAGTGTCCCATATCTAAGTCAGCAATCCTTGTCGGAATACAGGGTTGGCTTGGACAAACATGGTTCTTGGGTAGATTCAGCAATGAAGGGCTCGGTCTTGGCACGATTGCTTGTGAAGGGCTAGCGTGATACACGCGTTCCCACGATTCAATTGGTACAGGCAAACGACAAAGTCATGCCTAAGTCACTCCTTTGTCTGTGTGGCCATGTGTTCCCCCATGTAAACGCCAAGAAGTCACTCCTAAGTCACGCCTCGGCAACAATCCCCATGGAAGGCTTGACGTCACCGAGCTGATCATGCTACAAAAAGACAGGTGTCAACACTGAAACACATTGGAACGCTACTGATGGCAAAGCATGTTTTCCAGCCCTCAAGCGCGCCCGCTCAGCCCTGCAAACACGCCAGGTTAGTCCAGGTGAGAGGAAAAGCAAGGTGCCGACTCGAACCAGCTGTAGCAAAAGAGACGTCAAGTCTCAAGATTGCGAAGCACACTGTAAATGCTCCTGGGCGGATAAGATAGAACATGCCTAAGCCATCCTAAACTCCACGGAATAACCATATTCAACTGCAATGCCTCCCAAAAGCCTATCCCTTCAAACATGCAGAGTTCCTATGCGTTTTGGCAAGAGGCACGACTTCTTCGAAGCCCTCTCCCCCATGGAATTTAAGCAATGCCTCAAACGGAGGCACGACTTTGTCAAATCCCAATAGCCCTGAATGAACTGGGACTGCGAGCAACGGCGCGATGCCGGCAACGGTTTGTATTATGCCCCCTATACATCAATAACAGGGCTGGGGGGGGGGAGGGTGGACCCACCTCGTAGTAGCATTGAAAACCCATGGCTTGAAGCCCACTTTGGGCTAAGGATCCCAATCGGACCTCAAAAGGTGGCGATTAAGTCACCCAAAGGCCCCCGAAGCCTGGGCCACTGGGCCTGCGCTGTTGCGAGGGCGCCTATTTAACACCGTGGCCGAAAAGACAAACCAAAAAAGAGGCAAACATAAAACGCCGTTCTGTGAGCCGCAAAATGAAACCGCCAAATTTTGGTGGTTTCAACAAATGAAACCGCCAAATTGTCGTAGCCAAAAATGAAAAGAAGACCAGCCAATGCTTCTGTTGTTCTTTTTGTTTTTTTGGAGAAGCTAGGCTATGGGTCCAAAGTCCCAAGGTGGTTCGACGATGCCGCGCCTCAGCCTTCCGGGCTTCCAGCGCGACCCGCCGCTCCTAACCGCCCGGGAAATGGGTCTTGCCCAGGACCACTTTTCTGCGGTCCAATTGGTTGAAGTTTGACCCAAACTCACTTGTCTGATTATATCGGATTTGGAACCCCAAGCCCACAATATGTCTCGAAATGTCTCGAAAATCGGATTTGGACCACAAAAGAGGAGGTTCTCCAGATCCGTCCTCCCCCCACCTCGACCATGTTTGGCAATTCGGGGCGCCGTTGGAAGATTCATCGATTTGGGATTCATCTTCGGACACGACAATTTGACTCGCCTCCGCAGTACGCTGAAGGTCCTTTTGACCTCAGCGGGCACAGGTTGCACCGAGTGCCACACAAAACTCATCAAAACTCTAATATGGGTGTGTCTGTTTGAGGGTAGTTCCAAAGGCAAACCAAAGGGAACCCACAATTTGAGCAATTTGTTGGGTCCACATTTTAACACACATTAATTTACGTGTCCAGCTCTCTGCGAAAAATATCCAGTTACGTGTCCAGCTTTCTGCGAGAAACAAGTGTCCCAGGAAAAATACATTGCTTGTCTGCTCAGTCGCGTGATTCGGTTGTTTCCCTTCACCCCACAAGCAATAATGCTTTCAGCAAAGGCCCGGTCAAAATAATTTAAACAAAACCATGTAGGCTGTGAGATAATTGGATCAGCTCTTATTCCGCTTTGACACCCGCCCTCGGCATGATTGACCATCGGAAAAGAGCTGCCACATTACGAATCAGTCAACCCCTGTATATGATTAGTTCCACGGTCTATACACATTAATCACCAAGCCCAGTGGCTCTAGTTCTCCATGAAGATGCGTAAGTAGGGTTGCTTGCCTCTATGCGCTACATGATGTCCCCCTGCCAAATGTCCCGAACAAATCCGCATGAGTTGCCAGCTGGGAGGAAGTCGAACCCTCAAAACCAACTGGAATCAAACAAATAGCTCCGACCCGACTTGTCATGTGAAAACCGTAGGTTTATTGTAAAAGGGTATGTCGTTGTCACAAACCCCCCTTATACACCTGTTGCTTAAACCGCCTATTATTTAACCCCCCCACCTGTTGTTTAAACCCCACTTGTTGATTAAACCCCTATTTGAATTTCCACCTGTTGTTTAACCCCCTGCTGTTTAACTTGCTGGTTCTCAGTAGGGAATCAGGGAATAAACCAGGGATTGCCTTAAAGGAAACCACCGGTTGGATGGTTTATCTCGGGGTCATGCCATATCGCATTCCCTGCCTATCGCATCAGCAGGTTAATTCTCCCGGTGGTTCCCTTGTTCTTTGAACCTGTCACCGGTTTAAACCCCACCTCTTTTTTAATCGATGTTTAACCCCCCCCCCCAGTGGTTCCCTGGTTCTTTGACTCACTTCCTGAGTGGATTGGATTCCAAAAAAAGGGGCCAAAACTGCTTGTTTGCCGCCAAAATGGTCTTCCAGCTCAAACAATTCGAAGTCCGAAACGGAACTCAGGCAGTGAGATGATAACCAGGCAGGTCCCTCTTTGAGGCACACATGTGCAAACAACTTCACACTCTCAGAAAATGTCTCTAAGAGACTTTGCATCTTCAAGAGGTCGGATGCCCAGGCGGTTGGTTTGCTTTCAGTTCACCTTTCGAAGCATCTCAGATGTTGAACTCAGGGCATTACATCCTCAACTTCTCTCCAACGTCAACCCATCGGCCCAGATCCATCGAGATCCATCGATCGCCCCAGCGATCGAACCATCGCCGCCCCGAGGCCCCGAGGCGCCCGGCGCTGCTCGCTGAGCGCCAGCTGCTTCCGCGTGAGCGCCTCGGATTCCCCATGCTGCTCCTGGCGCTTCGACGGCTCTGGCGCCAAGAACTTTGACGTTGGAAGGGCAGCAAAAACTTGTTTTTTTTCGGAAGCTCAGTGGTTGGATTTCAACCACCAAACCACAACAAGCATGCAAAATGGTTTGCAACAAATGCCGGTTCACGTCCCCACACCAATCCAAGGCAGCAAAGGGGCGCTTGCGACATTCAAATCCCCAAGGCCCCAAACCAATCGTAACCAGCAAAAGGAAACCTGGCAGATTGATCCCCAATCCAAACCAGCCAAGGGAAATTTGGTAGGTGAGTCGGAAGAAAAGCAAACTTCTCTTGACATAGACCAAAACTCCAGTCTAGGATCAGCCGATTGACAGTGCCAAGGGAGCCAGAACTTCTTGATTCGCGCTCTGGAGGAGTACCCTAGAGACGAATGCCAAGAATTGCACCCAAAGAATTACACCCAGTTGCTCAGTGAGCACCGTTTCAGGTTGACTATTTTAGTGGGGAAACCATCAAACACAAGGGCAAACTGGGAAAACCCCTAACCCCAATCAAGAATACAAAGAGGATCCGCCTCTCAACTCGTCAAACCTAGAACAACAAAGGAGCTAGGTCCCGGGTAAAAAAGGTTTAACAAATCCGCCTCCCACCGAGACAACATGTTCAGAGCTCTCCAAAAGAATGGACACCCACTGAAACTGTCAGGGGCTGGGTGGTTCCAGGGGTCTGGTGGTACCTGCCAAAGGAGCCCCGGGCAAAATTCTAATGGCCCCAAGATGAGCCCTGCAAAATTGAGTGGGCGCCCCGGCCCTCCCCCAAGCATGAGAAAAACGCTCGTACAGGTCGAGAGACTGGAGCTAGCTTCTTGTGGTTATTGATTCTCCGACCTTCAAACGCCACCAGTGCCAATCTCAGAAGCGTTAATTACAAGACATTGCACAAACAAGCGGAATCGGGACAAGCACTTTGAATGCGCATCGACTGCGGTCTGAGCGAGATATGGGCCCTAAATCTGTGACGGTGCAGTTGCATCAGGACTCCAAAAGTCACACGCCAAAAAACAGAAACTGGCCAAACACGTGGCCCCACTGCTCCTCCAACTTCTGCTTCATCTCATCGAGAGCTTTGCTTTCGCATTCCATCCTGTCGACTCGAGCAGGTTCAACTAAAGCCACCTTGCCCATGTTCGCTCGTGCATGCCTGTTGACTTGATGATGGCTTGCGACTTGCGATATCATCTGCATTGGCAAAGCTGCGGCTCTCAAACTAAACCCAAACCTAATCAAGAGCAAATACCATCAAGCGTGTGTTTATCGACAAGGGACAAGCCTTTCCAAATGAGATAAGCAAAATTGCAATGCTTGTCAATTGAGGAAGTGCCCATAATACATGCGCATGTGCGAATTTGAAGCCAAAGAGGATTCAGAAGTCAATCAGGGCACAGCAACACGCCGGCTCGAACAACAGGTCCTCGCTTGAAGATGGATCACGTGCTCGAAAAGCCTGGGATTTCATCGCTTGCAGCACGAGAGTCCCTTGTCAGTGAACTGTTCGCGCAGAGGACATCTTGTGCAGCTGTGTATTCGACCCAAAAGTCATTGAAACAAGCTGCAAGAGGCAAATCGCTTACGCAAGGGCAGGCAAGTCAGGTCTTGCCCCCCAAATGCTTAGGCTGTAGCCAACCTGAGCGTTGAACAGGGGGTCTAAAAACAAGGATAAATATCTATATCCTTGTCTTCCATTTGCTTAAGCCGCCGGGAAAGCATGAAAATATGTCCAGAAGTGGTAGATCCCTTTTGAAGCCACAGGGGAAAATAACAAATATTCTGAAACAAATGGGAGTATTGGTTTGCCGTGTGGAAAATTGTCAATCATTGGTGATGCACCCTCTTTTCAACAATCATGGAAGCTTACAGGAGGGCGTATGAAGACTGCCCTGTTTTTGAAAAAAAAAACTGACAACTCTATGATTATTAGACAGGGGGTACCCAACATTTGAACTTCCTTCGTTTCAACGGTCACTGGTCGGCTCGGAACTGGCCACATGGCCCATGTCTCAAGCAGGGCATGGGCGACACATATGGCCGTGCACACCTAAGATCACATGTGGCACATGTGGAAACCTTTAAAACCGCAGCGGCGGAAACCTGAAAATCATATGGTGCCTGAATAACTGGTGTCATTCCCACGTCCGTCAGAGATCTCTTCGTCAGAGATCTCTGCGTTCTGCCTTTTGCTTGACAATTCTGCTGCAAGTGACTCGTGTTTCTCCCATAAGCAAGAGCAGATGGGCACACTGAATGATCAAGCGTGGCAAACAACTCTCAGCTGGAGATAGACCAATGTTGACCCCGGATTAATAAACACCACACCTGGTCCGCCAAAAACCCATCACAACACTGCCACAACCCGTGGAGGCTGTTGCTGCGTGTGGAGGCTGTTACAGGGTGTGGGGCAACAAAGAACCAACGAAGATGCTTCCCTGTTGTCTGTCGCAGTGCTCGGCATGCTGCTCCTTGCCACTCTGCCCGCCCCTGTCTTTGAGCTTGCTCTGGAACGGAGCTTCGGGGTTCAAAGGACCTGGATATCAAAGGTTGACGGTTGGACCCACACTGTCAAACTTCCTAAAGGTCGAAAAGGCCGACTTTGGGCAAGTCATGGTGGGAGGACTCCTGAGCGTCCCCGCGTCCCCAATCACTCTTGAGACGCTTCTCAAGAAATTCGGCCGAGAGGCTTGCTCTTCTCTGCCAAGAGATTCTCGCAGGTTTGCTCCCATCCAGCCACCTACGAGGTGATGTGCTGGTGGACATGGAGGGGTGCTGTACTGCATGGGACAGAAACTGCTGGGAGCATCGAATCGACGCAATGGCAAACACGGTAAAAACAGGTTGGTGGTTTTGACCCAGGTAATTGGACAATGATTGGGAAGATGCTCGTCGCTTTGTCCCGACCAGCGAGGCTAGCCAGGCAATGGAGAGTGTGACACCTCACCTCCTTCTTCCCTGTCGCCTGCGTTACCAAAGCAGGAGCAACGACCCATTTGGATTGTGCAAACAACAGACCAAAGGGTCCTTCAAAGGAGTGGGGCAAGCTTGGCAGCGTGGGAACCATTCCCCACGCTCGCCACTTGCTCCAGTTGCATCCCATCCGTCCGTGCCTTGCACTTCTGCCCACTGAGCTCCACTTCAAGGTGGCCTGCCACGCTGGCTTTTCTTTTGGGAGCGACTGAGGTCGGAAGTGGAAACACCTTCCTTAGAGCACAATCCCTGGATTTTGTGAAGGATTGCTCGCAATAGTCATAATGTTTTTTGAAGGAGGCACTCAGGACTCGATTTCGGCCGGAAGTAGATCACCCAATGCTCGAGTATCTGCAAGACTGATCATTCACTGAACAGAAATCAGAGATACCCCGGAAGTCGACCGTCATGGGCCAAGTCTTTTACCCAGTAAACTTCATGTGGGGCCTTGGCTTGTGGGGGCCCTCTGCCCTCCAGAAAAAAAACTTGAAGCCACGGGAAAACACAGGAAAAACACCCAAAAAAAAACACCCAGATCCCAAACCTGCCCAAGCGCCCAAAGTCGACGCTGGCTCAGCGCGTCTCAAGAACATGCCGACGCCATTTACTCTTGTACTGATGACTGCAACATCTAAACATCCGAACGTAAGCTGAGCGCCCACAAGTTCCCACATGCACACTCGTGGAGAACGCACGCAACACTTCCACCCACAAGCGCCCACGTGCGCCCACAAGACCCGCAAAAGAGCGCCCACAAGCGCACACATGCGCCCATGAAAGGCATTAAACACTGCCGCCCAACAAGCGCCCACATGCGCATCAAGGCGACCCCCAAAAACGCCGCCGAGAAGCAACCGCAAGTGCCAGTACCCGCACCGCCGACTGAAAGTGTCCATGGCAGCTAAAACCGTCCACACAAGGGCGCAAACCGCCCGCAAAAACAGTTCAGCCCCACATGCGCCCTCATACACCCATGACTGGAGCGCCCGCAACGCTACCGCCCACACCGCCAAGACTTCCACCCGCATGCGTTCATGACCCACCCAGACTGACTGGCGCCCACAAGCGCCCACAAGCCCACGTGCGCTCACAAGCACCCATCAAAGAGGCACTTCTTCCAAGCGCTTGTATGCGTTCACAACCCGCAGCACAACACTTCATCAAGAAAGCACCTGCGCCCACAAGCGCCCACAAGCACTCACCACATATGCCCAGAAGCGCCCACATGCGCCCATGCGCTCACGCGCCCGCCAGAAAGCCCCGCAGCACTTCCGCCCACAAGCAAGCGCCCACATGCGCCCACATGCGCCCACCTGGAGGCAAACCAAGAGAGAGCCCGCGTGTGCCCCCTAGCACCCACAAGCCCATGAAAAGCGCGGCGCCCGCAACACCACCCACCAAGCCAAGAGCTACAAGCCCACACCCGCAACCCCGCCCACAAACAGAGCACCCACGAGCCCCCCAAAACGAGCGCCAACCAAGCCCAGCAAGAGCGCCCCAAAAACCGGCACCGGCGCCCACAAGCGCCCACAAGCGCCCACAATGCCCACAAACCCAGAAAGAGCAACAAAGCAAAAGCGCCCACAAGCCCAGCAAGAGCCCACGAGCGCCCAAAAGTGCCCACAAGGGCCAGCCCAGCAAAAGCGCCCACAAGCCCAGCAAGAGCGCGCACAAGCGCCCAAGCGCCCACAAGCCCAGCAAAAGCTCTTAGCAGCCCACAAAAGCGCCCACAAGCCTTATAAGTCAATAAGCGCCCACAAGCCCAGCAAACACCGACAACCTGGATTCAGGGTAAGCAGGGCGTCTTTTACCAAAAGTTCAGACACATTTGCTTTGGGCCTAGGTTTGCGATCGTCCGGAGGAACCCTCATCGTCTTGAAGCAGTTGACTTTTTTGAGGCATCGTCCACCAGCAAGAGCGCGCAAGCGCTCGCAAGCCCAGCAAAAGCGCCCACAAGCCCAGCGAAAGCGCCCACAACCCCAAGAGAGCCCACAAGCCGCCTGCAAGCCCAGCGAAAGCGCCCACAACCCCAAGAGAGCCCACAAGCGCCCACAAGCCCGGCAAAAGCGCCTACAAACACCCACCGCCACAAGCCCAGCAAAAGCGCCCACAAGAGCGCCCAAACAGCAAAAGCACCCACAAGAACCAAGCCCAGCAACGCCAACAAGCCCAGCAAGCCCCGCAAAAGCGCCC